GCACAGGAGCACAGGGGGAGGAGGGTGAGCACAGGGGGAGGAGGGTGAGCACAGGGGCACAGGGGGAGGAGGGTGAGCACAGGAGCACAGGGGGAGGAGGGTGAGCACAAGAGGAGAGAGAGCAATCCTTGGGAGAATCGCAAAGACCGAAGATCCACCTTGCAGGTTTTGGGGACCGGTCTGTCAGCCTTAGTGACGGTGCCATCTTGGTCACTGGGGCTGTCCTGAGCGTGAGAAGATGGGGGGCAGCACCCCAGCCTCACCGTCTGAACACCAGCAGTGCTCCGCCCGGCTGCCCCTGGTCTCCTGTGGTTGCCAGATGCTCAACACTGAGGGTCCGGCTCTAGACGGGAGAGAGTGAAGGTCCTTGTGAGCAGGGGCCCGGCCCCAAGCAGCGCTCCGGCCCTTTCTGTGGCTGCTCTTTCGTCTCAGCGCTTGTGTTGGGGCTTCTAGCAGTGGCCGTGAGGGTCTGGAAGGAGAGGAGGGGATTTGGTGGCAGCACTAAGCACCTAGGCTGGGTGTTGGAAAGCCCTGGGCTTGAGTCCCCAGCTGCTGCTGCCAAGAGGGGTCAGCTCGGGAGCCCTGGAAATCTAAAGAGGAGACAGACGCAGACCAGCACAGCGCACAGACCGGGGCTAGGAGAGGCTCGGCGCTGTGCCTCAGCCACAAAGTGGGTGAATGGCGTCAGCCCCACAGACTTGGAGACCAGTCTCCGTTCCCGGCTTTAGTTAGCTGTGTCTCCTTCCAGCTGCACAGCTCCATATGAATTTCCTTTGCCCATGCGTGACCCAGCGCGGCTGCCAGACAAGATCCAGGGGTCCCAATCCAGGCCTCTTGCTCTAGTCCAGTCTGTGTTTCCGGGGGTAAAGTCTGGGAGGCCTCGGCCCAGGAGGTGCTCTCCCTTGTCCACTCTGCACTGAGCGGGGCGCAGGCCGATCCCGGCATGCCACACCCTTCTTAATGGAGTCTGTGGCCATAGGGAAGATCCACAGCTGTACCCCAGTCCCCTGTTGACAAGGCACTCGCTAAGGCAGTGGTTCTCAGTCTTCTAATGCTGTGACCCTTTAATACAGTTCCTCCTCTTATGGTGACCTCCCATCATAAATTGTTTTCATTGCTACCTATCACTGTAATTTTGCTACTGTTATGCATCACAATGTAAATATCTGATATGCAAGATAGTCCTAAGTGACCCCTGTGAAAGGGTCATTCGACTACAAAGGGGTCACGACCCACGGGTTGAGAACCCCCGCTCTAAGGGCTTGGTGAGCTGGACATTCTGCTGCTTCAGAGCAGTCTGCTCCACACCTCACACCCGTCAGCTCAAAGCCATCTTCGTCTGTCACGGCTTCTACAGGGACATTGTTCTCTCCCTCCCCCACACCTGCCTCCTGATGACCGTTGTGGTGCTGAGATATTAATGAACTAAATTTATAAGACCTCTCTCCTCTTTTGGCTGTTCTGTTTGGGGAGTTTTTGTTTGTTTAGAGTACTGGAGACTGAGCCCAGGCATCCTTACCAGGCCACTGCGCTACACTGAGCCGATACCACCAGCTCACCTTTTCGAGTTTTATTTTGAAAAAGAGTCTCACTAAGTTGCCCAGGCCGGCCTTGAACTCGTTATGTTTTCCAGACAGGCCTCGAATGTGCAGTCCTCCTCCCTGAGCCTCAGGGGCAGTTGTGCAGAGATGTTTTGATAGTGAGGGACGGTGATGGGAAGAGGTGAGGGTGCTGAGTGGATGGAGTGTGCTCTGTCAGTGTTTTACGTTCTGGCTCCAGCAGGGGCTTGAATACTGGGTTCCCTGGGACTGGAGAGATGGCTCAGTGATTAAGAGCAATGGCTGCTCTTCCAGGGGACCTGGGTTTGATTCCCAGCACCCACATAGCAGCTCATAACTATGTGTAACCCCAGTCTTGGGGGGCTCTGGCACCTTCTTCTGGCCTTCATGGCACAAGGCCTGCACATAGGGCACAGACACACATAAAACAGCCATGCACACAAAGCACGTTTGGAAAGTACTGTATTGTGCCCCACAAGGGGGTCAACTGCCTAAGGCAAGAGAAAGGACTGGGTCCCTGTCCCTTAGTTTCGTGAGTATTCTGTTCCTCTTTCATCCCATTGCTTGCTACCCTGTGGTTTATTGCTTAATTAACATGCAGATTTCTGTATACAAAACCATCTTATTGAAAAAGAAACACAGAACCAAATACAGAGTTAAAAGCCAAGAGGTCAGAGCAGTAGCTAAGAGCTGAGACTGAAAACCTCCCTACCCTTCCTGCTGCTGCTGTCCTTCCCTCAGCCAGAGCGCTGCTTCCTGTGTGTCTGTCTTTTTATAGACTTTCTGTTCTGCCTTCTCATTGGTTGTAAACCCAACCACATGACCTCCTTGTCACTGCCCATCTCTACAGACCTCCAGGTCTTCTATGGTTGGTATTGAGATTAAAGGCGTGTGTCTCCATGCTGGCTGTATCCTTGAACACACAGAGATCTGCCTGTCATATGATCGGGATTAAGGGCATGTGCTACCACTGCCAGACTTCTGCTATGGCTTGCTATTAGCTCTGACCCCCAGGCAACTTTATTTATTAACATACAAATAAAATGATATTTCAGTACAAATAAAATATCACCATATTTGATCTCTTCTAGGAGATCAACTTGCGAGTGAAGTGGCCCAATGATATTTATTACAGTGACCTCATGAAGATTGGTGGAGTTCTGGTTAATTCAACGCTCATGGGAGAAACATTTTATATCCTTATCGGTGAGCTCTTAAATCCCTGCCTCCAGCATTTTTTATATTAACAAAACAACAAAAATTAAAATGTCTTATGCATGCCTGTACCCAAGACAGCAGATGTCATTGTGAGACAGTGTTTTCAGTCTTAGGTTATAGAGTGTGTAACGTGGATGCAGAGAGGACCAGACGAGTTGAGAACACTTCCAGGGCTTAGCAGGTCCCGTCTGGGGCCGTGGAAACTGCCAAATTGGTATCACACCTCACAGATGTCTTTCCACGGGTCTGCTTCTCACGGAACTTGACATGCTGGGGACAAATATTTTACAATAATGACATTTTATAATAAGCAGTGATTGATGTCTGTGGCAGTTAGCTTAATTGTCAACCTGATGCAGTGTAGAACCGGCTGGAGAGAGTCTGGATGAGGGACTGTCCGTATCAGGTTGGTGGGGAATAGTCTTGACGATGTTCATCGATGCAGGAAACCCCAGCCCAGTATGGGCAGCCCTAGTCTCTGCTTTCTGTTGGGGTATTTATTACAGTAACAGAAGTGAGGCTAAGACATGTTGCTTCTTAGCCATGAAGAGAAATTGCCTTTTAACCTTAACAAAAAACAAAAACAAACAAACAAACAAAAACCTCAAGCGAGTCACAGTAGGACAGAGTCCCTGCCCGCTTCACCTCGGCGCATCCGAGGAGGTGGTTCCACAGCAGTTTCAGGAGGTCTGAGGACCCCGATCATCCCACCACCCACCCTCCTAATTCCCAGTAGTGCTCACTTGCCACTCGAAAATCAGCAACAGACAGAAACACGTGATCGTGTCCAGGGTGCCAAAGAACACAGGCTCGCGTTTCCAGTTCTGCTACCAACTGGCAGTGTTTTTCTAGGCAAGCTACTTCATACTTCTAAAGCTCCACACCCCATATTTAAATGAGTCATTGTCCTATATGCAGATTCCAAACAGCATCCACTGGTACTGGGGCCAGAGGACTGCTTCAGGAGCTGAGGGATGATGTCAGGGGGAAGTTGAGGCAGGATGTGTAGCTTAGTTACATTCTTACAGCTTTTGGAGGCTGGAGAGTCAAGAGGGGCAAGTTTCAGGGTGAACAACAGAATCGTCTGTCTTCTAGACAGACAAATCCAAGTTGGTAGTAATTGAGATCTTTATTCTCCCTCAGACTTTTTGTTTTGTTTTGTTTTGTTTTTTTGAGACAGGGTTTCTCTGTGTAGCCTTGCGCCTTTCCTGGATCTCGCTCTGTAGACCAGGCTGGCCTCAAACTCACAAAGATCCGCCTGCAGGCATGCGCCACCACCGCCTGGCTCTCCCTCAGACTTTTAACCGTGTGAATGCTGGGAGAATTTGCACCATCATCTAGAGCAGCAGTTCTCAATTTGTGGGTCATGACCTTTTCGAGGTCGCATATCAGACATCCTGCATATCAGATATTTACATTACGATTCCTAACTGTAGCAAAATTACAGTTATGAAGTAGCAACAGAATATTGTTATGGTTGGGGGTCACCACACCATGAGGAGCTGTATTAAAAGGTCGCAGCGTCAGGAAGGGTGAGGACCACTAATAATGTCAAGCTGCTTGTGTTTGTTTGTTTGTTTCTGCCCAGGCTGTGGATTTAACGTAACTAACAGTAACCCTACCATATGCATCAACGACCTCATCGAAGAGCACAATAAGGAGCACGAGACAGGCCTGAAGCCCTTACGAGCCGATTTTCTCATAGCCAAGGCGGTGACTGTGCTGGAGAAACTGATTGACAGGTTTCAGGACCAAGGGCCGGATGGCGTCCTTCCTCTCTATTATAAATACTGGCTGCACAGGTCAGTCCCCGTTGTCCTCTCTCGTTTAAATTCCCTGAAGTTAGTGCTTCAGTTTCCCAGCGTGAAGGGCTGAGCATCGGCCTGGATGGTTACTTTTTAACTCTGGTGGAAAAGCCCCGTGACTCAGCCTAGTCAGGAGTGAGAGGAACTGGCATCCTGGAGGAGGCACTGGGAAGGACCCAGCAGTGAGAACATCTAGAAGCAGTTTGGTGTGGACTGTGAGGAGTGGTCAGACACATCTAAGTGGTAGAACCTTCTAGATCTTGAAATGAGATTCCCCATGCACCCATGGCAGCTTTACCTGCACCTAGGATCTTCTGAATCTATGCTCTGGGGCTGAGGCCAGCCCCCCCCATGCTAACAAATGCTCCTGGGGTCCTCCTGCAGCTCAGGTGTGGGGGCCTCTACCCTGCCATAGCGTCAGTGTCCTCAGACTTAAGAGAATCTGGTGGACAGCATCGTGGAGCATTTGTCCCCTCCCACCTCTACCTGGGTCCCAGGGATTGAATCCACGTCACCAGGCCTGTACTTTGCAAGTCCCTCACCTGCTCAGCCCATCTTGCCTGTCCCTATATGCTGCTTTTCTCTTCTTTTCCTTCCTTTATTTTAATTAGCATATATTGATTTGAAAAAATAGTGGGTTTTTGCTATGACATTTCATACATGTTTACAATATAATTCGGTCATATTCGCTGGTCCCCATTGCCCTCTCTTGTCTCTCCTTCCCCCTCATTTTCCCACATCATCAGCAATAGGATCAGAATTAATTAGTGTGATGTGGTACGCAGAAGTCCCAGCCCCCCACTGCGGCTGCTTGAGTAGGTAGTAAGATGTTCCACAGGGACAGAGCACGTCAGAGCTTGCTATCATAAGCCACAGCCTGTCCTCGAGACCCTCGTCCCCTGTTGCCTCCTGTGACGCGGTGTTGGTGTGCTCCATTTTCAGTGGTCAGCGAGTCCGCCTGGGCAGCGCCGAGGGGCCGCAGGTGTCCATCGTGGGCCTGGATGATTCTGGGTTCCTGCAGGTCCATCGGAAGGGTGGTGAGGCTGTGACCACCGTGCATCCAGATGGCAACTCCTTTGACATGCTGAGAAACCTCATCCTGCCCAAGCAACAGTAGCCCACGTCCCCAGACAGCTCGGATCCGCCCTGCCGCAGCAGCACGCCACAACGGGGGAGCTCCTGGGCTGCTCCTGGGAGCTCCGAGCAAGCACTGGCTGTCGCCTTTGCCTGCCTAGGGCCCCAGAAAGGAATGTAGAGCTGTAGGCCAGTGTCTTCTCCGAGTCATTTGTTAGCTCTTCAGGTTATTGGTTCCCTGTCTCCGCCCCCTACCCCACCCCACCCCACCCCACCCCCCGGGTTTGGGTTTTTACTTTGTCTTTTTATATCTGTGGTTGTATTTGGTGTTTGAAGATGCATCTGGTGAGGATGGACAGGCGAAGACTCAATTTAGCTTAGGAGTTCGGTTTGCCAAACTCCTAAGTCAAAGTGCTCTTTCCCACATGGGCTTGGACTTACGTTTACTAGGAGAAAATGAGGGGCAGGGAGTTGGAAATAGCAATGAGGTAGTGCAAATATTTCCTAGGTAGTGAAGGCTGTTCCAACAACGAACGCGCTGAGCTCAGGTGAATGCTGAGTTAGCGGTCCGCCATGACTGCTTGTGATCCTCCAGGGGATTCTCCCAGAACACACGGTGCTGCTTAGGCATTGGGCTGCTCTTTGATTTGGTTCTGGGGTTGTTGTTGTTATTTTTCTTAATCAAGGTGGGCTACCTGAAGAGTGGCTGCAGTGACCCCCACGTGGCTGTGATGGCCTCGGGGAGGAAGTAAGTTTCTCACTTTGCTCTTATGCAAAGAGCACTCCTTCCCAGGGTCAGATGGGTCAAGTTTTAGGCTTTTAAGCCAAGATGGCACCTTCTTTGGAGGCTGATGCTAAGCCCAGGTTGGAGATAAAGGCTCACTGTTCTGCCCACGTGAGGGACGATGCTTGGAACTTTTAAGCCAGTCGTCGGCTCTGTTAGAATGTGGAGCGTTCCCACAGGGCTGTCCTCATGCGGGATGGCGGGCGTGGCACTGTATTACAAGTCGAGATTTTCTGCCCCCTATTTCATTTTATTGTCATGAGAGAAAGAGATATTGACTCTAAAGTTTGGAGGAGTGTGCGTGTGCGTGCATGTGCGTGCGTGCGTGCGTGCGTGTGTGTGTGTGTGTGTGTGTGTGTGTGTGTGTGTGTGTGCCTGAGCACTCACATATGACTTTAAAAGAGATGTTCAAACTCCGACGTGTCCATGGAAGAACAAAGGAAAGGAAGCCTTTCTAGGTTTGTTTCCAGATGTACGTGCGCTTCCCATGTACCTCCCGTCTCTGTGGAGTTTGTGAACTGTACCCATTACCACCCAGCCTTAGAGAACCAATTCCTGTCTGCTCTCCCGCTTCCTGCCCATCGGACTGCAGTTAGTGGAAGGAAGCTGTAGCTAGAGTTTTCCTGCTTTGCCCACAGTCAGGACAAATCTCTGTCACCCGCCAGTCCCACAGCCGCTCAGACCCAACCAAGTAAACACAGAGACTTATATTGCTTACAAACTGTATGGCCGTGGCAGGCTTCTTGCTAACTGTTCTTTTATCTTAAATTAACCATTTCCATAAATCTATACCTTGCCACGTGGCTGGTGGCTTACCGGCGTCTTCACATGCTGCTGGTCATGGTGGCGGCTGCAGTGTCTCTCTGCCTCAGCCTTCCACTTCCCAGAATTCTCCTCTCTCCTTGTCTCACCTACTTCCTGCCTGGCCACTGGCCAACCAGTGTTTTATTTATTGACCAATCAGAGCAATTTGACATACAGACCATCCCACAGCAGGAAGCAGCGGAGGGAAAGCTTTGAACAAGATCCCCTCATCGCAAACGAGCACCATCTTTATCCAGGTCTTACGTAGTCAGGCCAAACTCCAGAAACCCGAGGTTTTCAGTATAAAAACCCATCCACCTTCAACCTAGCACCGACAACCCCACTTGAAGCAAGAAATAACATAGTAAATTCCACCAACCTGACCTATGTTTGAAGGCATGTAAATTTAAAAGAACTTTAGAAAGTAACTTTTTTTTTTTTTGCAAATAAGACTTCAACTAAAAATTTTCTCAAAAAGATTGTGTGTGTGTGTGTGTGTGTGTGTGTGTGTAATTTTAGTTGAGGTCTTTTTTTTTTTTTAATTCATGTGAGTTTAAATAAAACTCTACACCACCCCGAAATTACAAAATGACCGACCCTTGAGAGGGCGTCTGTAAAATGTCATCGAGAACGAAGATCTCCAGGCTGATGTTGCAAGCTTCGTTTCTCAGACTTTGTAATATAAGTCCCGCTGTCTCCCAGGACAGCCGTCATTGCATTTTAAATTTCTTTGGGGGATTATTTAATGAAAAACATGCTGTTTTGTTTTAAACCGAAAGCCTATTCTGGGTAGTTCTACTTTGGGAAAAAATGTTATCATTTAATTTCCTTTCTGTAAGTTAAAACTAATGAAGTGTGGTCATGGCAGAGCAGACAGAGATGTTCTGGCCCTGGCAGCCGGCCTCTGAGTAGTTACACTGTTTCGGGGTATTCTCGATTATGCAACCATGACACCCACTTGTCCTGAGAGAGAGAAAGAAGCCTTGAAGCAGATGCTTCCCATTAACCTGGTGTTGCCTCACGTGAACCAAAGACGTCAAAGTCCCCATGGTAGAGAGCATTCTGCTGATGGGGGTGGGGAGGCTGCCACACTGTACCTGCTCCATGCAAGGGTATCTGCTACTCAGCAGCCCCAGATCTCCGGGAACCTTACAAAGTCTTAAGGGAATCTTTGCTGTCTCCTCACCTTGAGATGTGGCCACCTAACTCAGAATCTGCATATGCTGTAGAGCAGGTTACTCCTGATGTCAAGCTGCTTACATATCCCCCACCCCACCCCCCAGGCCCGTGTCGGAAGGCACACACAGCAGAAACTGGGTTTCATATGACCCAGCTAGAGCAGTGAGGGAGCCCTGGCAGGGAGGGCTGGGAGATGTGTGTCCTGTGGATCTCACTGTGCACGATGACATGACCCAATGTGAATGTCCTGTCTGCAGCATGGTCAGATACACACCCAGTGAGGGACCACAGACTCTGGGGGTTCCCCTATACCTTGCACACTGTGTGGTAGTCCCCTGGCCTACCTCACAGGGCGCTTCCAGAATGCAAGAGGGGCATCTTAGGAGCTTTGCTTTCCCGACTGCCAGAAATGGGACATCCTCATTCCTGGTTCATCACTATGCATCTTTGAAATAAACAAAAATGTAAACCTTTGCTATTTTTTATTTTTTAGCTTTTCAAAGAATCATCTCTGAAAAGAATTACTGTAAACCAATGCCTATAAAGCAAGTCTACCAAAATAAACTTTTAAGATTTTTCAATATGATTCAGGCTCATTCTTTTTTTTTACCTCCAGTGTCATTATTAAAAACAGTCAGTAGCTTTTGGTTATACTATTTTCATTTAATATTTAAGCATGATCCTGTGTAAGAGTTCAGGAACCTGATGCTTTGTGAGTTTTTGTGTATTTTTGGCAGGAAGGAAATCTTACTAGCCAAAAGAAGAACAGCTCAGAAAGGTCCAAAGAACAAACAAATCTTTCCAATGAGAGGGAGATTTCAAGTTACCACTCCCCAACTGTTCTTTTAGGATTTTTCTTTTGTGAAAACTGCTCAACTTTCATTAAAGATATTTTTGTCCTGAGATAGTTAACATCATACGTCATGCCTAAGTTTGGGATCAGCGTGAATCATGTGCTATAGATAACCCACAGGCTGCCAGTCTCCAAAATTTCAAGCTAAAAATGTTCTTTTGATCCCACTTTATCTGTAGTTCTAATAGATTAACACGTGGGTAGATTTTATATATGTAAACTGTTAGAAAGCCCCCCCCCCCACACACACACACATGCACCTTTCCGGTGGGAGGGAGGAGGGCCTGTCCTGCTGGACTTCTGACAGGATGAAGGGGTGGGGTGGGGAAACAGGCCCTTCCACCCCTTCGTGTTTCTGCAGAGGTATGAATGGAATGGCTTTCTAGAAAGGGGCTTCTGAGAACATAAAGGAATTCCTTTCCCTGGGAGGCCCTGTGCAGAGTCCAAGGCTTGAATTGGGTTTAGGCCTCAAATCCATTTGATCTGGCATTTTTGTCAATATGGTACATCTTAGGCAGGCCCACTATGGGTTTCTTTTCTTCTCTCTCTCTCTCTCTCTCTCTTTCTTTCTTTCTTTCTCTCTCTCCTTTCTTTCTTTCTTTTTTCTTTCTTTCTTTCTTTCTTTCTTTCTTTCTTTCTTTCTTTCTTTCTTTCTTTCTTTCTTTCT